ATGACTCCTTGTCCTGCCACTGCAGCTCCTAACACAGAGTCCCTCTGCAGCTTTCCTGGAGCCCCTTCAGGTCCTGGCAGGTTGCTCTGAGGTCTCCACACAACCTTCTCTTTTTCAGGCTGAACAGCCCTAACTGTCTCCTAAGGAAGATGCTCCAGTGCTCTGATCAGCTTTGTGGCCTCCTCTGGACTTGTTCCACCAGTTCCATGTCCTTCTGCTGCTGAGGACACCAGAGCTGTGTGGAGAACTCCAGGTGGGATCAGAGTAGAGGGGGACAATCCCCTCCTTGGCCCTGCTGCCACACTCCTTGGGACAGCCCATGACGGGGCTGAGTGCACACTCAACCTGTGTCTTGGAGTTGGACACCTAAACAACACATGGATCGGGTTTTGGTCATGTGAACAGCCATGGCCTTACCCACACTGGCTGTCTGGAAGTGAGCAGAGAGGAAGACAGCAGTGAAGCAGATGAAGGCTGACATGCATGTTGCATCCTTCCCATTCCTCTTGCAGTCCTTGGTGAAGATGTTGATTTTGGAGGGCTCAAAGCGGATGCTGGTGTTGATCTGCACCACACTGCGGGACCTGGGGGACCAGAAAATGTTGAGGAAGATGATGTGGAATGGGACGGGACACACTGGCATCATCCAAGTCTCCCACACCTCCAGATTTGCTCTTTTCACACCTTTTCACTCTTATTTCTCAACTGAGGAAGGCCAAAGGCCACTTGGACTCTCCAAGGAGGACCCTGGGGTGGCCAATCTTGGCTAGGCACAGCCACCCTTCAACCCAACAGCTTCCAGGGCTTTCCAAACATAAACAATAGTTGGAAACATTGAATTGTTCTTATTTAATCAGGCCAGAGAGAGCCTGGGGAAATCACCACAAATCAATTGGCTGGTTTGAAACTCCTGGAGAACTCATGATGAGATTCAATGCTAAACCAACTCTGACATCCTTCTGGGGCCTAATGGCATTAAAATCCCATGGCCTTGATGGATAGGGGGTTGTTATCCTGGAAAGATGGATCAGATTGTTGGGAGATCAGTTTTCCCTGAAAAAAACATCAGCATTTTGAAATGAGATTTGGGCAGAGAACATTGACAGAGAGAAGAGACAACAGAGAGGGACCTCATTAATGTCTCCAAATGTCTGAAGGAGGTGCCAAGAGGATGATCAGGCTCTGCTCAGTGGTGGAAACCAATAAAACAAGAGGCAATGGGCAAGAATTGATGCACAAAGTTCCACCTGAACATGAGGATTAACTTCTTTCCTGTGCAGTCACTAAGCACTGAACAGATTGCCCAGAGAGGTCATGGATTCTCCTCACTGGAGTTGTGCAGACCCATGTGGACACAATCCTGAGCCATGTGCTCTGGGCTGGCCCTGCTTGAGCAGAAAGGTGGGACCAGATGACCCATTGTGGTTCCTTCCAACCTAACTGACTCTAGAATTGGGCAGAGAGTGGCAAAACAAGACAAAACACAAAGCCTTGAGCAACCTGGTCCGGTGGGAGGTGTCCCTACCCAGGGCCGGGGTTTGGGACTAGATGATCTCTAAGGTCCATTCCAATCCCTTAACATTCCATGAACTCACCACAGGAGCACAGCACTCCCCAGAGAACCAACAGCCAAGTCAATGAGTCCATCTTCATTGAGGTCCAGCTGTCCATGGATGCTGCATCCAAAATACATCAGGCCTGGGCCTAGCTCTGTGGCTGCAATCCTCTGGGAAGGAAAGGACACAGTCCAGGTTGGTTTCCAGCAGGAACATCCCTGCCTGTCAAGGCCTCACCATGCCAACCTCCACCATGCTACTGAAGGCCTTTTCCAAGTGATTCCACCATCATTTTCCATGGAATGAGAGAAGTTTCTCTTTGGAGACACCATCTAGAGGTTTTAGCTGAATTTACTCTGTGAATTTATTCTTTCTCACAAGTGTGAGAAACATCTAACCAACAAAAACTCATTTCTTTAAAGACTTATTTATAATTAATGAGATCACTCCAAACCCTGAGATCAGAGAGGAATTAACTGACAATTATTAATGGTCCCATGGAAGGAAAACTGGAACAAACAGGGATAGAGAGGTTGAACACATCCCACACTCCAATGGACACAAGGAGAATGAAACCCTTTAGAGATACAGAACTAGTGCCCTGTGCATGTTACAGCTGTGAAGAGCTTTCCATCGTCTTTTTCTTAACTGTCATAGGCTGATTTGGACATGGATTTGGGGAGGGATTTGGGCATGTATTTGGGCAGGAATATCCTCAGCAATTTGCCCAATAACCCCTAGTTTGGTCCTATCTGGAGATTTTGTGTGTCCACACTGGGGCACATCACATCTGCATCACTCCAAGCCCTTAGGTCAATGCAATTCTGAGAGGAATAAACTGACCATCATTAATGGTCCCATGGAGGGAAAACTGGAGCAAATGTGGACAGAGGTTGAATTTTCATGGTGGTTGTTGTGCTTGACATAGCTCATTGTGTCTTGGGACCATTGCCCTGAGCACCCTGTTCAGGGCTTGAATTCCAATGCTTTTTCTTGGACATCTCCAAAGAGATGGATCTGGATATAACAACATTACTCATGTTCTATCACCCCCTAAAATGGGCACAAATGACACTGACTGATGAAGGATGGGGCCAGCCAAAGCCCTTTGGAGTACCTACCTGCTTGTACTTCTTCAGGATGGTCTCTTTGAAGCCAAGGAAGATGTAAATAGCTCCTTGGTGCTCATCCTCCAAAGGTGCCCCAACCACAAGGTCATTGTAGGAGTCCTGGTTGAGGTCAGGCACAGAAGCGATGCAGGAGCCAAAACGAGAGTTCTGGTAGCTCTGCAGGTCCATGAGGGCCCCACTGGGAATGAAGTGGTTCTGCCAGACCAGCCAAAGAGAAGAGGACACAAAACAACCCCAAAACCATCAGCAGCAAGCCTGGCAAGAGGAGAAACGTCTTCAAGCAAGCAAACAAGGTGCAGTGAGGTGTGAGTTCTCCAAGGGAGGTGAGAGAACTTCCAGGGCTGTGGGACTTCCTGCAGAGCCCCATATCTGCTTTGCCTTCCCTTTATGGCAACCTACACAGATAATTAGGTGCAATTAGGTGTTAGGAATAACTTCTTCACTGTTAGGGTGTTCAGGTACTGGGATATTGCCCAGGGTGGTGGAGTCACCATCCCTGGAGGTGTTTCAGAGGTGTCTGGATGTGGCACTGGAGGATATGGCTTAGGGCTTACAGCAGTGACAGGTTAATGGTTGGACTTGGTGATCTTAGATTTCTCCTCCAACCTTGATGATTCTATGGTTCTATGATTCTAGGAATTGCATCCAATTTGTGCATTAGGTACAAGGACTCCACTGCTCCAGGTGGGCTCTGCATCCCTGGATGTAGAGCATGCTCTCCTCACTGTCCATGTGCCCCTGGAGCTTGATGGATTTGGCTCAGAACCTGCATCTTGAGCCAGATTTGAAGGTGACAGGAAAACTGGTCCTTCCCCAGAGCACTGCTGAGCACCAGGAAGGGGGACAGAGGTGACACATGTCCCATCCCCATGGTGGAGGAACCAACTTTGCTGCTCCCCAGCATGTCATGCTTGGCCCAGCCTCAGGGTGCCCTTGGAGGGAACAGGTTTGGGGGAGGAAGGGGTGTGGAAACTGGTTCTCCAGAGAAACACTCATGTTGCAAAGACCTCATTTTGTGCCTATGCATCACTCCTAGGAGCTGAGAGCAGCAAGATGCCACCTTGACCACTAACTGAGATGCTTGATGGAAGCTAGGGGAGATGACACAAGGGGATGCCATGCTACTGCTCAAAGACCCCAGCCCTTGTGATGTCCCCAGATCACCCCATGGAGCTGCCACATACCTCCTGTAGGGTGTAGACATAGACCTTCCCCCTCTCCCTGCCCTCACTGAAGTACATAGGTGCTCCCACCAGCAGGACATCGGTGACACCATCGCCATTAACATCGAGGGAGTTGATCTCACTGCCGTAGTAGGAGCCAATCTAGAGGAGACATGAGGGAAGAGAGTGATGGATGTCACCTCCTCCAGGAGGACATTCCAAGCCCTGTCCCTGCTATCAATCACCTTTTCCAGGAGGACATTCCAAGCCCTGTCCCTGCTACATCCAAGCAGTTCAGACTCTGTGTGTTGGACAACCAGGACATCCTCAACTGCCCATGGATGTGCTAACATCACTGAGCTATTTAAACAGCTCAATTAGTAAAATGAAGGAGGAGGATTGATTTTTCCATGGGAAGAAGATCCCTGGCTGGTGTTACCTGCTCTCCCTTCAGGGCCTGGTGGATAGTGAGGTTTCTGTTGCTGTGCATGCTGAAGAGGATGACTTTCCCTGTGTGGTTGAACCTGGGAGCTCCAGCGACATAGATTCGCTCATGCTTGGTGGAGATGACAGAGGAGACAGTGTAACCTGCAAGGAGAGATGGATATGAGCACTCCAAGCAGCTCCTTGCCTGCTCCAGGATCTGCTTTCCATTAATCCCCAGCTGCTGACACAGCTTTGGCCACTTGCCAGAACAGGAAGCTTGGAAACCCAGAGATAAAGTCACTTTGATCAACCCTAGAGCCTGACCTTGGGCTTGGAGCCACCTGCTCAGGTGCTGCCCACACCTCACCCAGAAGTGATGCTGTGCCAAAAGTTTTGGCACTGTCTAACACTTGGCAAACTCAGTGTAAATCCTTCTTTCATGGAAGGTGAATCCAATTCCAGGACTTGGAAGTGTTTCATTTCATGGCTCACAGCAAATTAAACAAACACCAGTGAGTTCTCTGCTCCTTCCAGAGCAACTCTGCTGAAATCAGCCATGAAAGGCTTTGCTGCTGCTTGATGTCAACATTCCTAGCCCAATAAAAGCCATGAATCCATCAAAACTATTCCTCATGAGTTCTAATGGAAATAATCCTGTGGAAGTCAATGACCTTGAAAAATTCCTGCTTCCTACCCAGACAGGTTGTTCTCTGTGCTGGGATCACATCACATCCTGGGCTGAGGCACTTCCTGTGGAGCTGCAAAATCACCAGGATTTCAACCCCAGGTGCTGATTTCTGAACTTTCACACTCAAGTTTAAATGCCACTTAACTTATTAGGAGTGGAAGGTGTCCCTGCTGATGGGAGGGGTTGGAATGAGATGATCTTCCAGGTTCCATCCCATCCAAACCACTCCATGGTTCAGGAGACTCTGCCCTGGAGCCAGGCTGGGAGAGCTGGGGGTGTCCAGCCTGGAGAAGAGAAATCTCCAGGGAGACCTCAGAGCCCTTTCCAGTGCCTAAAAGGGCTCCAAGAGAGCTGCAGAGGGACTTGGGACAAGGGATGGAGGGACAGGACACAGGGAACGGCTTCAAACTGTCAGAAGGCAAGGACAGATGGGATATAGAGAAGGAATTGTTCCCTCTGAGGGTGCTGAAGCACTGGAATGGATTTCCCAGAGCAGCTGTGACTGCTCCATCCCTGGGAATGTTCCAGGCCAGGATGGATGGGGCTTGGAGCAACCTGGGCTGGTGGGAAGTGTCCCTGTCATGGCAGGGGGTGGAACAAGATGATCCTTAAGGTCCTTCCAACCCAAATCATTCCAGGATTCTCTGATTCTACGAAACTCAAAGTTTGGCCAACCATGAAACTGAATCAGATCACCTGGAATCACATCCAGGTGAATGATGAGTATCTCCAGGGATTATTTGGGTTTACAGATCCTATTCGCTGGGCAAAGGCTCTACTTGGGATCCATGTCTCCCTAAATATTCCCCTCCTGGAGGAATGAATATTCCTAAACCAAACATCAGCCTGAACCCCCTGAATCCCAGCACTGGGTGTCCAGGCTGTTCCACAGCAGGATACACCTATATCTCCTTAATATCCCTGGATTTCTTACTCCAGGCAGCGGGAAGGAGAGCCCAGCTGAGCTCCCACCCACTGCCATGGGTACTCCTTCCACCACCACCATCCATCACTGCTCCAGGAGCTCCCAGATGAGCCTGGAGGACACTCTGCTGTCTCACCAAGGATGTCCCACATCTTCAAGGAGCTGTTGTGTCCCTAGGAAAAATTCCTGATGTACTGGGAGGTGATCCCACCTTTCTCCCAGCCACATCTCCACAGAGAAGCTTCATTTTTCCACCCAGACTGCTGTTTTCCCTCCAGAGCTCCAAGTGTCTGCACATGGAAGAGATTAACACAGCAGGTATTTCCTCCCTAGGCATGGAATTCCAGCACCACTTTGAAACCATTCCAAGAAGCTCTGGGAATGACATGGACTGGATTGAAAACACTTCTTGTGCTGCACAGCATGATCTTTACTGGAATCATCCCAGCTGAGGATGCTCATGGATGTTGCACCCACAGATCTCACAGCCAAGCATGGAACCACCTACTCTAATCTTAGTCACCTGAGGAATATGTTCTCCTTCCTATTATTAAGGATAGCATCATGAATTCCCTCCTGGAATTCAAGCCTTGTTCAGCTTTTCTTACCTAAATAGGCTCCATGATTTTTCAGCTCCTCTGGGAACTCCTGGAGATAAGATTCCCTCAAGGGAATGACCTTCCCACTGCTGGTTTCCTTCAGGACAGCTCCATTCCAGTCATAGGCACCCACTGCTCCCAGCAGGATTCCATCCTGTGGCACAGCAGGAGGAGTTTGAGGGCAAGTGGAAGGAATTATCCCTCTCCTTGCCCATATGGATGAAGGAAAACATTCTTCCAAGCACACCTGGAATCACACTTCAACCGTACTCATAGCTTTTCCATCCCAGGAAAACCCTAAGCAGAATTCCCTGCTGTTGTTTCTCCCTGTGGTTGTGAGGGGATTGAGCATCTCCCTGTGCCTTTCTCCATGGCACATCCAGCACATCCTTCCCAAGAGGTTGTGGGATCAGCGGGAGCTGTTGCAGACCCTAGGGAAGACCTCCCAGCAGCAACTTCCCCATGGGATAAACCACCAGCAACAGCATTTTCTTCTTTATGTCAATAATTAAACTCCATAATGAATGGCATTCCCTAAATCGCTTTCTTCCACCTGCAGTTGGTGAGGATAAAAAGCACAAGCAGGAGCTAAAAAAGCACAAATTTCCTCTCTTACTTCCACAACATGGGATGAAAATCCAGTCTGGGACATTTCCAGGCCAAAGGAGATCTCGTTCTTGTTGGTTCCTGGAAAAGAAAAGAAGGGGATTGGTGTTTGATGGAGTTTTGCTTCCCTGAAGGAGCTGAGAGGTGCCTTGGTGGGGCAGGGTGGGATGAACACAGAGGAGCTCAGTTGCCACAAATCCTAATCACGGAATGGGTTGGGTTGGAATGGAACTGGAAGCTGATCCATTCCCACCCCCTGCCATGGGCAGGGACACCTCCCACCAGCCCAGACTGCTCCAAGCCCCATCCAACCTGGCCTGGCACACTCCCAGGGATGGAGCAGACACAGCTTCTTTGGGCAACCTGTGCCAGTGCCTCAGCACCTCACAGGGAACAATTCCTTCCCAATATCCCACATGTCCCCTTTTCCAGTGGGAAACCATTCCCCCTTGTCCTGTCCCTCCATCCCTTGCCCCAAGTCCCTCTGCAGCTCTCTTGGAGCCCCTTTAGGATCTGGAAGGGGCTCTGAGGTCTCCCTGGAGCTTCTCTCCTCCAGGCTGGACACCCCCAGCTCTCCCAGTCTTCCCCATAGCAGAGTTTCTCTAGCCCTTGGAGCACCTCCATGACCTCCTCTGGACTCTCTTCAGCATCTCCACATCCTTCTGATCTTCCTCCCTAACTCACTCCCACTCCACAAACTGGTGTCATCAGCAAGTGCTGGGAACTCTGCTGCTGTACCAGTTCTTCCCTTTCCTGGCTGTAAGATCACCCAAGAATATAGATTTAGAGGTTTTTGCTTCCTAATGGGTGAAACATCTCCTCCAGGGAAGGTTTCTTCCATAGGGAAGCATCAAGCTGGATGGACCAAGGTAACTGGCAAACTGCTGAGGAGCTTGTGAATTGCTTTGACCAAAATTCCCTCAAACCTCAAGATCTTTCACCTTCTGTTCCAATTGTTCATCCCAAGGTCACATTTCCTATGAAATATGAACAAATTTAGCCATGGAGATGATAAAACTTGTCACAAGTTCTGTCATTTAGAGCAGAAACATTTCCTGATGTTTAATTTCAGCCAATAAACCACAAACCCTAACATTATTCTCATAACCTCATGATGTTCAACACCCCAGGGAGTCCCTGGCAGTCCATGTGTGGGTTTTGCCTGTTCATAATCCAGGAATTCGATGGATGAAGAAGACACTGACACCCAGATGATCCCCAAGGTTTGCTATAGATTCCAAAGCCACCACAGATTTGGTGACCAGAACAAGAGGGGTCTGTGGAGCTCTGGTGGCCAGAATGAGAGGTGCCTTTGGAGAGAGAGGATCACTCACCTTCCAAGCTGAATATCCTTTCTCCCAGAGCATCCACAATGTCTTTGAGTGCTGCTTCATCTGTGACATTGAAGAAATGTTTGTCATCTGGGTCACTTGCTATGAATTTGATCTCGTTCAAAAAGGCTTCAGGGTTGATTCCTCTTCTATTGTAATAACCCAAGACCTAGGGTGGGAGTGGGAATACAACACTCAGGGGGTTTCATAGAATCATGGAATCACAGAATGGTTTGGGTTGGAAGGACTTTAAAACTCATCTAGTTCCACCAGGGACACATTCTACTAGCCCAGGTTCCTCCAAGCCCCATCCAACCTGGCCTGGAACATCCCAGAGATGAGGCCACCAGCTCTCACATGATGGACAGATCCATCCCAAACACACACCTGAGGGGTGTCTGTATGGAAAGATTCCACAACCTTGGCATATGACACCCCAGCTGTAATTTCCTCAGGCTGTCCTCTTGTCCTGAGAAGCCCAGAACTGGGCACAACACTCCAGATGGGCCTCACCAGGGTTGAGTAGGGTACCAGGATCAGCACCAAGGACCCCATGACCACACTGGGAGAGGTGGAGATGACCTACCCTCCCAGCCCCATTGTGTTGTAGGCTCTGCACACCATCTCCAGCCATTGAGAGCCCCAAGGTCTCCCCCCACTCACCGCCACGGCGTATCTGGTGACATTGTCCTTCTCGCTGTCCTCAATCACCTTCTCCAGGTCTGGGCTGTCATGCGACTCTCCATCTGTGATTACAATCATTACTCTCTTTGCCCCTTTCCGGCCACCTTTCTGAAACGCTTCCGAGCTGCAAGTGAAGAGAAGCCCTGGGCTGCTCAGCCTCGCCAGGGGGTCATGGCTTCCACCACCACCACCACCACCATGGCCACCAAGGTGGTCCCCACAGCCCACAGCACAGTGTCTTCACTCTGTGGGCCTTCAGGCACTGGGATATTGCCCAGGGAGGTGGTGGAGTCACCATCCCTGGAGGTGTCTGAGAGGCATCAGGATCAGGCTGGAGGATATGGTTTAGGGGCTACAGCAGTGACAGGTTAAGGGTTGGACTTGATGATCTTAGAGGTCTCTTCCAACCTTGATGATTCTATGAACCCACCCAGGGGTGTTTGTGAGCTCTTGAGGAGGTGAAGAACCCTCAGGAAATGTAGTGGGACTTCAAAAGGGGAATTTTTTTTCCACCTATGGAGGTTTTTTTCTTGCCTTAGATCAACAAAATTGGGCAGAAATGACTTCAAGTTGCACCAGGGAAGGTTTAGGTTGCATATTAGGGGAGATTTCTTCATGGAACAGGCTGTCCAGACCTGGCACAACTGCCCAGGGCAGTGTTGGAATCACCATCCCTGGCAGGATCTAAAGGCCATGTAGATGTGGCACTTGGGGACATGGGTAGTGGTAGCCTTGGCAGTGTTGAGGGATGGCTGAACTCAGTGATCTTAGAGGGCTTTTCCAACCTAAATGATTCCATGATTCCATGGAAATGGCCTAAATCTACAGCAGGAACATTGGTTGGGATGTGGCAAAGAATAAACAGGAGCCTGTGGGGCAAGAGGAGATGGAGCTGTGGGTCACTCCTGGTCCCCTGTGGCCTCTGCAGTAGAGCTCCAGTGCCTGGGGCAGACCTGTGGTTATGTTTCAGGCCAAGAGCTCAGCTGTGGTTGCTTCAGGAAAAGGAACTGATTCCAGAATTTGCCTCTGCCTCATCCTTCTGCTCCAGCTGCAGCCAGGGCTGGATGGAGCAGCTTTGTGGAGCATCATTGGTAAAGCAGCAATTGAGGCCTGAGTGTTTGAGCAGAAGCATTTTGTGCCTGTCCGTGTCCAACACCCTCTCAGCACCAAGGAAAAGTGAAATGGGAGAGAGGGAAGGGAGACAAATGGTGGGTTTAGGCTTGTTGGAGGATGAAGAAGAAGGTGAATGTTGTTACCGAGCAAATTCTATCCCATAGGCAGTTCTGGTCTCTGTTCCTCCTCTCTGCTCGATGTGACTGGCAGCAGCTACCACATCTTTTACAGACCTGTAGTCATTTAAGTGGAACTCATGAACAACATCTTCTCCATACTGAACCACTCCAACCTGTGGATGAAAGGAATAACACTAACAGCCATGAAATGAGGTCCCAAGGCACAATGAGCTTTGTCAACCCCATGAGACAACGATCACCATGAACATTCAGCCTCTCTGTCCACATTTGCTCCTGTTTTCTCTCCAAGGGACCATTAATTATGGTCAACTTCTTCCTCTCACCACTGGGGACTAATAATCCACAAGTTTATTTCTCTTCCCCCTGCCCTGCTCTAAGGGCTTGGGGTGAAGTAGACGTGATGTGTCCCAGTGTGGAGCTACAAAATCTCCAGATGGGACCAAACTAGGGGTTATTGGGTAAATTGCTGAGGGTACTCCTGCCCAAATCCCTGCCCAGATTCATGTACAAATCAGCCCATGATGATTAAGAAGAAGATGGAAAGCTCTTCACAGCTGCAACATGCACAGGACACCAGTTCTGTATCTCCACAGGTTTTCATCCTCCTTGTGCCCATTGGGGTATGGATGTTCTCCCTCCACACCTCATTTAGGGTCATTAATGTGAGTGTCAGTTACATGGGCACAGCTTGAAACCATCAAATTTGGAAGAGCAGTGCTAAATTACAACACATTGTCATGAAAGGGATGTTGAGAAGCCCCAAGAGAAGACCCGGAGGACACTGTGACATGAGGGGACACACAGGTTGTGTAGAACCTTACTTGGATCTGGCCAGGACCAATATAAAACTTCTTCAGGATGTTTATCAGGAAGTGTTGGACTTCAACCCAAGGATAGATGCTGTTGGAGCCATCCAGGACTATGATGATGTCCATGTAGGTCTGGCACCCTGGGAAAAACACAGTGTGCTAGTGAAAGACCTTATGGATTCTCACCACGGGGAAATTTATGGCTTCTCTCCTCACAGCCAGGTCCTTGCTCTGAGGATTGATGTGAAAACAGTTCTGTAATCTTGATTCCAATCACTGTGCTGGTTTGAGCTGAAGTAGAGTTAGCTTTCTTCACAGAGGCTAGTATGGGGCTATGTTTGGGTTTTGTGAAGAACAAAGAGTTGATAATGCAGAGATGTTTTTGTTATTGCTGAGCAGAGTTTACACAGAGTCAAGACCTTTGCTGCTTTCCGTACTGCCACACTGGTGAGGGAGTTGGGGATGCATGGGAGACTGGGAGGAGACACAGCTGGGACAGGTGACCCAAACTGACCAAAGGGATATTCCATACCATAGGACATCATGCTCTGTATATAAGGTGGGAGGAAGAAGGAGGAAGGGGGAACATCTGGACTGATGTGTTTGTCTTTCCAAGGAACCATTATGTGTGATCTCTCCTGGAGATGGCTAAACACCTCCTGTCTTTGGGAAGCAGTGAATTAATTCCTTGTTTTGCTTTGCTTGTGTGTGCAGCTTTTGCTTTCTCTATTAAACTGTCTTTATCTCAATCCATGATTTTTTGTACCTGTTACCCTTCTGATTCTCTCCCCCATCCCACTGGTGGGGGAGTGAGTGAGAGGCTGCTGGTTCTTGGCTGCTGTTGGGGTTAAACCACCACAATCACTCAGGAAGAGCTTTGGGCTCCAGCAAGGTGGAGAGAAGCCACAAACAGCCTCTGTGCTGAGGGAAGATCAGATCACTTCCTAAGAATAACACTCACTGGTGTCTTTTCTCATTCAGATTTGGACTTGCAGCCAGCCTAATAGAATTCCATACTTCAAAGAGTGTCCTGCAGCTCCATCCTTCTCCCCTTCCTGCCACAGAGCCATGCCTCACCCCTGAGTCACTCCTCAGCATCTCACACAGCTTGGGCATTTCCTCCCTTCCCCTTCAATCCTCAGGGAAGAGGGAGCCAAAATCCCCAGTGAGGACCCCAGGGCTCAGCTCCACAGTCTGATCCATGAAGGATTTAATCATCCAACTGGTTTTGAGTGGGGAAAATTGTTCAGTGTCACATTCTGTTTTGCTTATATTTTCTAACCTCACTTAGAAAAGCTGCAGAAAAGCAGGAGATGATGAATTTCTCAGTGACAGAGATTTATCAGCTGCTTTTTTCACCTACTGTAGGTATTTGTGGATTAGAGCATCCAGGGATTGGAGTCTCACATGGGTCACTCCATCACTGTGGTCCTCAGCTGTGTGACACCATCTCCATCCCTCAGGAGACAGAGAGAGGATGTGACCTTCTGCATCCCATTTACTTCATGCTAACACTCTCTAAACCTCTCTAACCACCCAATTATCCTTTGCAATGAGGCCTAAAACATCTCCTGGCCATGAAGAGTGAAGTGACCCTGAGAATGTGATGGTGATCTCTGCCTCTGCCCCCCAAAATTCCATTTCCCCAAGCCCTTCTTCATGCCATGAGGATTAATCCACACCAAAGGGGTGACAGAGGTGGAGAATACCACCTCATGCCCAGCTGGGCCAAGGAGCATCTAGGATGGGGCAGGACAATTCTTCCCACCTTCAGGAAATCCAGGAACCTTATTTAAGACCTCAAAACTAAACTCACATCTCCAAATCAGCACTTTTGGGCCAATATCTTTAGCTCCCAGTCAATGAGATCTTTGTTATGTGCAGCCAAGGGCTGAATT